GTTAAAAGTCACGCGAAGCATGTCAGTTAATATTTCGGTTATACGGACACGCGATTTCACCTATGTTATGCAAAAAAAATTTGCATGCACGACAATCGATTTATTTCATAAAAGGATATATTATTCTTTATCACATCTTCTAAAAATAATTGACCTATTAAGTAAAACATGAGTATTATCAACGGTATTATCAAAGCAAAAGAAGCTTCAAGTGCTTGTTACATGATAAAATAATACGATAAGACTTATCATCTTTCGACGAATGTAGCATTTAAAAGTAAAGTCTCGCAAAAGAAAAACTATAGCAAACAATAAATCATTCTAGTAAAATCAGATTGAACGTCACTTCTCTTTTTGCGATTTTTTAACCTTCAGTTTTAAATAAATTCATTTGCAAATACAAGTTTTGTAAAAGCAAGGTCCGTATAAAATTATATAAAAAATAAAATTTTTGTTTGAAAATTCATAATTTTTTAACATTTACAATAAAAAAATTTATTGTAACTTAGCCAGAAAATTCTTAAACAAAAGAAAAGTGCAGGAAATCCAAGACAATCTGTACATATGATTCTTTAAATTCATTCGACAGAAAGCACAAGAAGAATTTTCACATAGCTGTAATTGACGTGCCGCATGCGAATAAAAAGTTCCCTAAGAAAGTCTTTTCGTGTTTCTTCCAACCGTAGTGCACATGGAATAAAATTAGCTTCGCACCTTCGATCTATCGGAGATCAATTTCGACCCCGACGCGAGGGCGACCTTCGCGCAACAATATTGCAACCTGCCTCTTCGTTTTTCCAACGGTCGGAGGTTCTGTCGCCAGCCATGTGACACTTTCGCAGGCGTTATTACATCGTTTAGACTAATTGCATGATAAAACACCGCAAATAAGAACGCTATTGACTAGAAACACGTGCACGCGCCAGCCTGTGTTCTGGTTTCGTGTTTCGTCAGACACATTTCGATGGCAAAGTTGCATTTCGTGATGGCGTTTCGAGCTTTATCACGTAAAAAAAACGAACACGATGCAGCGCAATAGCGTCAGTAAAAATCGTTATCTCTACGCGTATCCATCGCGTTACGATATTTTTCGTACTGCGATGTGATCACCGACACATAGGCGAGGTGGCTGTGATCGTATATAATTCCACGAGTGTGTGTGGGTGAATAGGCGGGTGTACACACTAAGATCGGTATCCATTCGCGATTGGCCCCCTCGATATATCGGCTAGACGACCTACTGCACGTGTCCCCATTCCCCTCTCAAGGTGAATGACGAGCAATGAGTTATCGGACTTCGAGCTCCGAGCATTTCTTCGCTCTGTTAGGCGCTTTTGCCGCATTACCTAGGCGCGTGCGCGCGTGTCTTTTAATCCACAACACTTGTGCTCGTATATTATTTATGGACTGTTTCCTACACAGTTCAATTGAAAACGCAAATCGAGATCACGATAAAATGCGAAAAAAAGACGAAAAAATACAAATATTTGCGTCTATCGTTATCCCATGTTAATTTCTACTTTTATCAGCTATATATAAATAAATATTGATTAGTATCGATAACTGCGATATTTTGAGTGATACACATAATTAAAGGAATTACATTTTGTGATAATATATTGGTAAATAACATTTCAATGATATTTTTTATTAATCTCATTTTAAAATGTTCAACTAAAAGAAAAAAGAGAAAATATTTGAAAGAAAAATATACATTTTAAATAAAATTTATATAAATACAATCTTGTTAAATTTGTTATCAAATTTTTATATAGCGTTTTGTGTAATTATATAAAAAAACTTCTATAAATTATAATTCTTAGAATTATTAGAATTATTAGAATTAAATTATTAAAGAAAGTCGAGGAGCTGCATCATAATTTCTATTTGAGACGTAGTATTTAATTCAAACAGAATATAAGTCATATTTATGACTTGTTTGTGTACTAACTAATTATTCTTGACAATGTACAATCAAATCAATGACGTTAAAGTTACTGATATTGATAAACCACTGGCTCACATTGTACACGGCGCTAACCTGTTTGTTTCTTGGAACGCAGTTATGGTGTCTACCAATATAAATCTGACGAAACGGCAAATTTTTGTGTATCAGCCAAAAATGTCGAAACAATGGTCTGTCGATCATCGGATAATAAAGATAGAATGCGATCAAAAATAAAGAGCGTATTTAATAATTTGTACAATAAAATTGATTAATAATCATAAAAATGTTAAAACTCATGCTACATTTTAAAAATCTTTATGAATTTTAATTGTATTTCAAAATTTTTCTAGCTTAAAAATTTAAACCATGCTTCTTAATGCACCTGTATCGTAATATGAGTATCAAAATATTTATATCGTACTATTTTTATTATTGTTAAATATTATAAATATAATTGTTCAAATAAAATAGTGGATTCTTTACAATTTTATGTCATAGACGTAAATATTTGGCACAGTTATAAAAAGTTGCGATGAAAAAAAATGATTTATCACGTGTACAAATATATAAATGTTGGGACAAGATGCGTGGAGATGATAGCTGAACGACAGCATGACGACATCCGCCATTTCTCTCGGATAGTATGCAGATCTATTTTCGAGTGATGGTTAAAATAGCTGAGCTTAAACTTCTACTAGACACTGTCGGAGTTACCACGTTGGTAAGGAATTAGGTCAGACTTAGGTAACGACAAAATAAGTATCAGCAAATCAGTTTCAGATAGCGTAACTAGATAATAAAAAAATTAGTAAAATCACCGATAGTCTTGATAATTCTAGTATTTATTATGGAAAAATGCTTGACTTGTAATAATATTAAAATTAATATTATAATATTTAAAAATATATAAATCATTCTTTAAATATTCTTTTAAAAATATATAATTTATCATTTTTTAAATATTTTTATAACCATCTTTTTATAACCATATCAAATATTTGCGTCTATTGTACAAAATTGAGAAGAAACAACTATTTTATTTAATATCCGAGAGAAATATAATTCGTATTTTCTTTTTCACACAAATGTATCACTATTTCAGATATCTTTTCTAAATAATACTTCTTAATTGTCTTTTTATCCAAATTATCATAAAAATATAATGTGGCGAAATGTAAGTAAATTTATAATCGCAAATGTTGAAAAAAAAATTTCGTAATTAATCTAAACTCTCTTTATTCAGACACCACTTTGATGCTAATAAAATTATGTTATTAATATCTTGAATGCAATTTAAAGAGATTTGTTACAAAGCATATAATATAAATACTAAAACAATATAAATAAATTTTATATTAAATAGAAATATAATTTAAAACAGCAATACACTCAGTGATTTTATATTACATTTATTTAAATTAAGCTTGCGATGGCATATACGTTATTTATTTATTTGTTTTATTCTTATCGCACAAAAAAAATGATATATATGAAATACACATATCATGAAAGCTTCCGTTTAAGATCAATATCGCGTTCTAAGCGTAATAAAACGTCATTGAATGTTAAAAAATGGAATTGTGGATAAAAATGGTGCGTGGATAAAAACGTGAAAAAAATATATAATTAGGGAAAATGCTGATTTCTATTTTCACTTTTCTTTTCTTATCTAATTATTTGTGCCGCCATTCAGCAGTGATACATATGAATTATATGCATGAGTCGTAACGTGCATGATAGCGCCAAAAAAGATACTCATGGAACACTTTCAATATAACTTCAACTTATTCTTTCAGTGCCTATATGTGCAGTTTTGTTATCACGCAAGGCAAGATATGCGAAACGACGAGCGCGTTGCGCGGCCAGAGATAACCTGGATTTCACCGCGTAAAATTCTTGCAAACGAAAACGCGTTCCACAATGACTATGCATGCCCTTTTTGCCACGTTCGCCTGAAACTTAGGTCCCGTGCGACATTATCGCGCCATTAAAAACGATGGTGTCACATACGTGTGATCATACGATTACCGAAACAGCCGTAGTACTGGCTAAATTTAAATGCAAGAAGTGCAGTCTCTCTTTCTCTCTCTCTCTTTCTCTCTCTCTCTCTCTCTTTCTCTCTCTCTTCTCTCTCTCTCTCTCTCTCTCTCTCTCTCTCTCTCAAAGAGTAGTTGCATAACCCAGTGGCACGAGGAACGTGTTGTGCGACGTGGTGGCACATTGAACGAACACGAAACTGCGGAAGTCAGAGCATAGCCGCGGCAAGCGCGCGCCTCTTCCTCAACGGCCTGCGAGACCGCATGATTGCCAGCGCAGTTTTACAAGCGAGTACCTTTCGCTATACTACCTGCTTCACCGCGATCGATAACGCAATGCCACTCGACTAAAAAAAGTTGAGGCACCAACGTTTGTGCCGTGAGTGTTCGTGAGCCGAGTGAAACAACAAACGGCGGTTGTTTCGAGTTCTATCTGCGATTTCCGCAACTATCGACGCGAACAGCGTGCAGAGAGAAGAGTGCAATCTAAGCTGGTTATGTGATTAGCGCATCACTGATAACATGATATTTTTATAAGGAGACGAATTGCTAATTAGTCGATAATTAAACGTCAACGATGTTGGTCTTAACTTGTCCATTAACTGGGGATGGTTGATTTTAGTTAAGCGCGCGGGCAAAGGAAAATCAGTTAGTTAAAAATTCTTGTCGGGAGATTTAGCACTCAATCAAGCAGCTATTTCAACAGAGTAGAGTAATTCATTCCAGAAATGAACAAATTGGAAATGTTTAATGTAGCTTTAATCAGCGTTTAAAATCTGAGAAAATTTATTTTATATAAAATATCGTAAAAATGACATTTTTTTCGAATTAAATTAAATTTAAAAAACTTTAAAATTAGATTCTCGCTGAAAATTTTTAGGAAAGTAAGTTTAATCAACGTTGAATCATCGTTGAGAGCTTTCTAATTCGCTCATTTGTTCATCAGCATCTCATTAGAGCAGCAATTCTCATACTATTCATATCAACTTTCCAAAGTTGAAAATTTCGAAACTCACCTGCTGGAACGGCGGCAGCTGCAATAGGTCTCTCTCCTCGGCAGCGGTGACCTCGAAAGTCGGTGCAGGTTGGGGCGGGTATATGTTGCCCTTGCCAGGATACGAAGTGCTCCGACGGAACTTGACCGGGCTGATGCAGGAGGGATGCGCTGTCGCCGGACCCGGATGGCCCGGAAACGTTGGACTGGGCTTGCGGCCTTGTAGGCCGGCTGCAGCCGCCACTGCCGCGGCGGCGTGCAAGGATGAGTGCAGCGGCGGTAAATTGGGCACGGATCTGCCGCGATTCCAGGGCGACAGGCCCGGACTGGCGACCGCAGCCGCGGCAGCTTGCGGACCCGCGCCCCATTGCTGCGGGGCCTGTGGCCCGCCCGACCACGCGGCGTAGCCTTTGCCAGGCAGATAGACACCCGGGTGTGACGTCGGCGGCGGTTGTTGTTGCTGCTGTTGATGCTGCTGTTGCTGCTGCTGCTGCTGCTGTTGCTGCTGCTGCTGCGCGGACGACACTTGCAGACCGCCGTGTCTGGTGCCAGCCGGAGCACCCGCGTTACCGTGCTGTTGTTGCTGCTGCGGAAAGTTGTGGCTGGCTGTGATAGCGCGACGAGTACCGCTGGACACCGCGGCGGTTCCGCTGCCGGCGAATAGGCCCGCGGGTCCGCCGGTTGGAAAATTTTGAAAGGCGGCGATGGAGAGCCGTTGACCGGTAACGCGGCGTGCAGACCGCTGTCATCTGGCGCGGACCAGAGGCTGGGCACGCGGCCGCCGGGATCGGCAAAGCCCTGCAAAGCCGAGGTCGTGCTGCACGTGATGTCCTTCTCCGTTGACGAGGGCGTCGTCGGCGTGATAGCGATACTCTCCGTCTCGATCGCGTCCTTCGACTTGTCCTGTCCGGCCACGGTATCGAGCGCGCCGCTCGGCGAGAGCGGAGCGGGCTTGCCAGCGGCTTGCTTCTCGATCAGCAGATCGTCCTGCATCGTTGATGTCGTTATGGTGACGGCGGCGCTGGCGTTGCTGCTGCTGCTGCTACTGCTGCTGCCGTTGGTGCCGCCGCTCGTGGTCGCGCTAGGTTTCGGGCTGGTCAGGGTACTCGAGAAGAGGCTCGTCGTACCGAAGTCCCCCATAAATCACCGCGAAACTTCCGATCGCCGGGCGTCCGTGCGACGTTTGACAACCGTCGCGACGAGCAGCGATCACTTCCGGTTAGGCCCCTTCGGAAACTTCCTCTCTTCTACCCTGTCGTCTCACACGCGCTCCGTCACTCGCAGCTCGAAGGTTGCGTTGTCGTCGAGAGGACCGCGCGCGCCGCGTCCTTCACGTAGTGCAGACTCGTCGTTCCTGTCCGGCACAAGCTCGCGGGGCAAACTATCGATCGACGACCGCACGCGTAAAAACACCCCGGAAACCGAAAGACCACGCCGTACGGTGATCCTCCTCGTCGCGTGTCTCCCTCTCTGCCTCTCTCGCTTTCCTACGACGCCTTCCTCTCGCTGTTCTGTCTCTCTCGTCTCCGGTTTCCCACCTCCTATTCCGCTCCACCTGCTATTTTCACGCCTCGGTCTATTTTTCCTCCGGGGCCCACAGCACCGCGCGTGTAGTCTCGTTTTCGCGCTTCCTCGTCTTCTTCTTCTTCTTCGCCGTTCTTCACTTCGCTCTCCTCGCAAACGTTCCTCTAGATCCCGCTGACGCCGCGTCGCTCCGCTACGATTCGGCAGCGACTCTGTCTCCGTAACATTCTCTCGGCCACCGAAAAGCCAACCTCACTCAGCGACGCGCGTTGTCATCGTCGCGACACTCCGACACGCGAAGCGTTGCTCGTTGCGAAATTACTCCCGACTGCCTATATTCCGTCTTCAATCGCTCGCTCGCTCGTTCGTCGTGCACGCGTCTCGTCTCGGCGGCTACCCCCTGGCAAACATAATTTCGATCCTCTCGACGAGGACACACCGCTGGACCACTTGGAATCCTCCCAAATACGCAGCGCAGCGCGCGCGACCTTTTGCTTGCCACTACCACACACACCGCGTCTACAATGCGAGGTCGTTTCGCGGATCGTATCGCGCTGGCGGACGAGGAGTGGTGGAGGACGGGAAGGGGCGAGAGGGAAGAGCGTGTGTAGCGTACACGATATGTTTTATCACCCCGAAGCCACACGACGAAATACAATGATCCACGTCTCTCGCGTACGATCGTACGATTCCAGCTGTGTCGAACACGAAACTCGCAGGATTCCCCCGACGACGAGAGAGGATTCGTACAGGGAGGATAATGAGCCAGAAATCTCTCCACCAGCACTCGCGGGACGATAGTCGCGCACCTACTACTCTCCCTCGACGACGTGTCGTCGATCGCCGATTGTTCCGCGGCGCGCGGAGTATCGGCTGTCGCGCGCGCGATCGATCGATCGCCGATAAGCCCGTACGTATGTAAGAGACGAGCAGCGCGGACGGAGGCGGGCTCTCGCCGATATTAATTGCACGCGCGCACACCGTGAGTCTCGCGGGAACACTGGTGACAGAAACGCGAGCCCGAGATGCGTAACGTGCGCGGGGTCAGGGTTACTACCCACTGACGCGAATCACCGATTGCGACGTGTCTTCTCCACCCGGAGAACGTCAATCGGTGCGGAACGGAGCGGATTCACACACTGCGGTAAATCGCGCGCGCGGCGGGCTCTTCCACACCTCGCGCCACCAAGCCGCCTACGCACAATATCGTGCACCACCTCTGACTGCACACGTATATCGGTCTCTCCCACCTCCTCTACGAAGTACGACGGTCTAGCGTCGTTTCCCGGTCGCTTCGCATGTTTTCCCTATTTTTTTTCCTCAGCGGCTCACCGTCTCTCCGTCTCGTCTAGTTTTCGTATCGCCTCCGTCGCGTGTACGCCCTCGCGCCTCCGTCGGCCGCGCTCGAACAGAACAGAAGAGAGAGAGAGGAGGGCTGATGGAGGTGCAAGGAGGAGGAGGCCCGGAAAACTCCAGCCAGCAGAGCGCGTTTCGGCGACGCGACTTCGTGGTCTTTCCTCTGGCGCCGCCGCTGCTGCTGCCGCTGCTGCTGCTGCTGCTGCTGCTGTTGCTGCTGCTGCTGTTGCTGTTGCTGCTGCGTCGTCGTCGTCGTCGTCGTGTATGCCTTTCGCGCGCGCGCACGCCGCAGTGGTGCGATTCGTGCGACGTGCTGACTTTTGGAACACTGCGGCCGCACCGTGGGTCGTGGCATGCCACAGCCCGTTCTCGGCTGTAAATTCTCTTGTGATCGCGCGTAAAACCGTGCGCACTCGGCAATCTTTACCTGATCACTCCGACGCTGATCGTGCTTCTTGTCGTCCTCGTCGTCGTCGACGTCGTCGCCGTCGCCGCCGTTGCGTCGGCGGTGCTGCGTCGCGACGTCGCTCACGCAGGCGCCCTGGCGACGATGTTGCCACCGCCATCGCGGTTATACCGAAACCACCACCGCGATGCTCGTCCCCTCTCACCCCTATATACGTTTCCATACCGTCCTCTTTTGCTGCTTCCCTCTTCGCAACCCTCTACGTGTACAGGGTGCCCTGAAATCATTGAATATCGTTTCAGCTGTAGACTTGATGTTGATAAATTTGATGTTACTTAATTGTGAAAGTTAATGAATTCTTTAGATTAATCTATGAAAGTTATATCGAAGAAAAAGAATAATTTATGCAAAAAATTATATCTTCTCCTTTCTTCTCTTTTTCAAATAGAAATATAAATAAAAAGTATAATTTCAGTTGATTTTTAAATTACATCTTTCGTTAAAAAAATATTTTTCAAATTTCATTATCGCGAGATTTAATAGTATAAATTACAAACAGATGATGCTCTTCGTGCTACATTTTTTGATAGATTCTAGTGGTGGAAAGTTGTCAGTAGAGAATTGAGTGGACATATTTTGTACACTGGTACCTGCGAGAATTCGAATCTTTTCCAACAACGATCGAACTGCTAGCGAGACGGCAGCGGCTTGATAAGCGGCCGTTCGATAAGAGCCGAGGGAGCTGTTTGGTTATGTACCGACGGAAGAGAGAGCGAGGAGCAAGCAGCCCAGTATGGTATACGGGGGATTAGAAGCGGGAGTGTAAATAAAAATATTGCGACGGGCGCGATTTATAGCGGTGGATAACGAGGCTTGCGAAAGAGAGAGAGAGAGAGAGAGAGAGAGAGAGAGAGAGAGAGAGGAGAGAGAGGAGGGAGGAGGGGGGGAGAGGGAGGGTAGGAGAGGGAGAGAGAGTAAGCGCAAGTAAACGCGCCGCGTCATAATTGCACTCGAATCTCGCGTGCTTTCGTAGCCGAGGTATCTTCTTGCGGGGTGATGAGCAGTCTTCGTCGGAGGCTGCAGTGTGCAGTAAATCTCTTATGATTAGCTGCGAGATGTGAACTATGACTGCGCATCCATAGATCTACATTAATTCGTGATGTGAATTCTTATAAACTCAAAGTGTTTCTACTTCGATTTATGTAACGTTATCATTAAATATTTTTATTCATGAGATATGAGGTATTTCCGCCAAACATGAAGATAATCTAATCATTTGGACAGATTTTGTGGCGTTGCTGATAACGAGTCAGTAATAAAATATCAAGATTAGTTTCTACAAAATCAGCGCTTTTATTCTTTCTTTTTTTCAAAGAAGACTTGTGAATACTTTGACTATTACTATATAAATAATCATATTGATTTATTAATGTAAAAAATGCACAGACAAAAGAATAAAAACAATTATTTACTTAAGAAATATAATTTACTTTTTTATCATTTAAATATTTAATTGAAAATTTAAGTTTATGTGCAATAAGCAAAACAGTGGAATAGATAAATTCTAGATTAGGCATAATTTTGTTATTACTATATTAATTTATTATTATTATTATTATCTTAAATAATGTGATGTAGATCTATTTGCATTAATATGTTCATGAGTAAATACTATTCCGATAATTTTTAAAAAATGGTCACGTTATCACTACGAAATATATTTTATTGAATGATGTTTTCCAATTTTAGGATTTGTTAAAATAAAAATAATTTCGATATAGATGTGCCAGATCTTGAAATGACGAGTTTGCAAAGATATTTGAAATTTAATATACAGAGCTGACTCATCGTTGTGAACAAATAGATGTTTTTTGTGACTACACTGTCAATATTGCAATCGTATCTCTTTTACATTTAAAATAAGATAGATATATAATTAAATTTAAATTTAAAAAAAGAAAAATGAAATGTACGGGATGTAACATTTACAGATTCTGCATCTGGTATACGAGATATTCAATTTAAAAATATGTGTTTTTTAGAAATATTGTCTAACACTATATTTGATTCTACGAAATAAATTTCTTATTTGATTTTTTACTGGATGTCGTGCATATCGAATGACGCAGTATGAATTTTTTATTATTTTGTTTGCAGTTCCATCTTTAGTCACAGGATGTAATTATTTTTTCAGTCTGTATCATCAGAGGATATCTGTATAGGATCTGCTACATCAGAGCACATGTGAGCACGTGTAAAGCAATCGAGCAGTGTATAGTTATTGTGTAATGTACGTGCGCAAGTGTGGCGTATCGTAACTGTATAAAACAAAATGAAAATTAAAAAAATAAGGAAACTGAAACGCAAAAAGAGGTACAATGCGAATGTAAATCGAAAAAGGCAACGAGATAAGCTCCGAAGACTGCCAAATATTCCCTGGTAAGTTTTCTAACCTAAAATGCATATAATGCATTCAATATATAATTGATCATTTATTAATTTTTACTTATTATTAACATTATTAGTGCTGAAATAAAGAACGCATGGGAACACACGAAATCTATTCGTACCAACTTGAAAGAAATGGGTTTGTCATATGATCCAAACAAAAAGACACAACTTCTTAACGTGAAACATGAAATGCTAAAGGCAGCTGAGAGAAAAATAACAGAAAATGATAATTCGTCGGATGAAGACGAGATGGATGCGACTCCATCAAAAAATTATGTAGCAGAGAAATTAGAAGCTGAAGCAAAAGCACCTAAACACCGTCGTCTCAAACTACCAAAAGGACAAGCACAGTTCCTTACTTATTTATTAAAAAAATATGGTGAAGATTATAAGGTAAGATTTTCTTTAAAGTCATTACTATTTTTAATAATGGCTAATTATTTGTTTATATTCTGTATGCAGGCAATGGCAAAAGACAAAAAGAACCACTATCAACTAACTGGGAAACAAATCCAAGCTAAAATAAAACAATTTCAAGGCATTTCAGAACAATATAACGAATACCTTGAAGATAATAATATACAATTGGAATCTTAATTTGCATATTGTATATACTGTTTATATCTTGATTAAAATAAACAATTTCTCTCGATTTATTACAATTATTATTGAAGTTTTTGTATTAGTAATTAAAGAAGAGATCAAAACATACTTATATATGAGAGGTTCAGAGGAAAAAAGTAGATCAAGTCCTTTTTTAAATCCATGTATAAATTAGAAACAATTTGCAACAGTTTTCACTGAATGATTTAAAAAGTACAAATGTTTAAGTTGAAATTAAAAGAAACTGTAGCGTCTTTGAAAAACAGCATACATGTTGCACACGATTAGAACAACTTTAACTTTAGAACTAATTTTTTAACAATCAACAAAATTGGATTTTATCCACTTTTCCTCTGACCTTCTCATATAATGACCAAATAACAAAAATTGTGCATGTGATCATTAACAGTCTAATGGCAATATTGCTATCAATGACATGATACCACATGTACAGATATTTTTTCTTATAATTGCAGTAGTTCATAAAAATTTTTTAAAATAAATTCTTTATGTATTTTCAAATTTATTTTAATAGGCTGCTTAAAATAAAAATAAAAATTGAGTATTTGTCAATACATGATACACAGTGGCAGAAATGCAACATGTCGATCCGTAAAATATAAATAATGTTCATAAATATTAAATTGTAAATAGTTTGCTAAATATTCATAGCATTTTAGTAATACAGAGTAACTTGAGATATTTTGAATGCATTATTACTTGAGGATGCAAGATGCTACATATGATACGAAATTAATGTGACAAATAACTATAAATTGCTTACCTCACAGTTGCTTCATCATTCTGATGCCTTCTAGAATGTTCGACTTTCTTGTCCACTGATAGCTGATTCTCCATGGCACTTCATAGCACATCATTTGCAAAAGTCAATCACTCGTTAGTAATCATTACTCGCACATTAATCAGACTCAATCAGAATTAATCAAAATACTTTTGATCGCGTATTTATTTACGATAATTAACATCACGAAGTATGATTACGAAAAAGCATATTCACCACTTGCGGCCATTACAAGATTCTGCAATAACGTACAGAAAATTAAAAATTGCGACCAACTTCACGCGCCTCTGCAGGTTGCGGTTTACCGCCTTTTTTCACGCATGCGTTATATACACATATGAAAATCAGTCTCACTAATGTAAGGTACTAAACCATGAAAGAAAAAAAATGCGTTTAGATTCTTTATATTTAAACTTTCCTAAAAATTATTTAAAATATTTTAAAATTTGTAAATACATTTTGTTGTGAAGATTGGGAGAAAATTTACAAACATCGCTACAACGCCCACTTGCGTTATTGAGCAGAAAAATAAAATACTATGTAGTCATGAAATTGAATTTTAATTATATAATTTAATTATTTTATTAATGTTTGGAAGTTATTTAGCTGTTATTGTTTAATACATATATTTTTGTTTATAGATAAAATTTTAAATCAATAAATAGTTTTTATATAAGTAAATAAAAAATATTTACGTTTTATTTATACAATAGTATTATGTATAATTCAAATATTATTTTAATTATTTTTTGTATGTATAAATCGATAATGCAAATTTATGATTTTTTAGCCTTTATGGCATGTTCGTAGCTAGTCAATGGTGATGATATTAAATATCATATCTGTAATCTGAATGTATGTACATATGTAATCTAAAATCGAATTATCGCATTTGCATATAACAAGTTCCATAGCAGAATATTGAATGTTGATAACTACAGGAAACAGCGTTGCATAAAATGTTTAATGAGAAAGAATCAACTCAATAAGAAAAAAAAACAAAAAAAAAACACGGATTTGTTTCTTCTAATTCTTTTTTATATTATATATTTTTCAGAAGCTGTAAAAAAATACTAGCTTAAAATTAATTATGTTCAATTTAATAAATACATTAACATAAATTATAATTATAACAATATAATTTCTGCTACTTGAATCATCAAATCTGCACAAATTTGTATATTACTACTTGCTCTCATTGTGAATGCAGTGGAAAAATGTTAAACGCATCCGATAAATTTATTATAAAATTGTCGCTATTAAAATTATTCAGGAGATTGTAAGAGATATGGACACGTAATAGAAACAGTCTCGTTTTAATTATACAAGTACATAAAATACGCGACACATAAAAAATTAGCGTTGCTGTGTTATCAATGTTACTAGGCGTTTGTGTCCTGAGTGAAAAGGGGGGAGGGGAGCAATGCTCCCCCTTGCATAAACATATGCAATTGCGCTGAAATTATCATTATTATACGTATTCTTATATACGCATCTATGATACAATTGTTGGCATGCTTCAACGTTATCACGGATGTCGATCCCTGAAGAAACGCAGGTCCAGTCTTCTAAGGAACACGCAGTTTTGATAACGCTTTCCAAAGGCATATTTTGTTTCTTCGATTAGATCACTTTGTTTCTCAGACGTCCGATACTTTCAATTTCGGTTTCAAGTACGTCGCCTCGCTGAAACATGTAATTAAATGTGGAAAATAGCGCAAACGACACACACGTATGATGAGGTACTATTATTATTTGCTCAATTTATTCGATATAATTATAATGAAACGTACCTGTAAGTATTCCGGTGGATTGCGCGTGTATCCGACACCAGCCGGTGTCCCGGTGAGGATTACGTCGCCTGGTAACAATGTCATAAATCTGAAATTTTAATTAACATTGTTATTGCATCTATTATCAATATCATTGCATATTGAACCTATTATCAATACATCAGAAAAATACGTACTGTGAAATATAAGTAACTATTTCGTGAGGTTTGAAGATAAGCTCGCTAGTATTACCATCTTGCTTCTGATTACTATTCACCCATGTCCTCACAGATAAATTATTAATGTCGCATATCGCCTCTTTGGTGATCACCGCTGGACCAAGGGGACAGAATGTGTCCATTGCTTTGCTGATCAGAAATTGACCACCGTTTCGCTTTGTTTTCTGCCAATCACGCGCCGTTATATCCTGTGCCACTGTGTAGCCGAAGATACAATCCTCGATTTCATCATTGCTGAGGCCTTTGCATTTCTTGCCGATGACTATCGCCAGTTCGGCCTCCCAATCGACTTTCTATAAAAGCAAACAATTTAATCATGTGATAAAGCGCATAATTTATGAAAAAAAAAAAAACGTTTTACTTCTTTAGAATGTCAAAGACAAGCTACATAATTAACGACGGCCAATTAAAGACAATAACTGTGCGAATACAATGCATAGTCTAATCAGTATTCAAACTGCGAAGATTCCGCTAGAAGCTGCTTGTGGAAAAATATTACATATAGTATGCGGCTTACGCCTAGAGGGAATAGCGTGAAACGAAAGTGGAAGCCGTGACGCAACCTCGACAGATTAAAAATAGACAAAGCCAAACAACGAAATGAACTATATTCCTCATTTTGCGCCGATAATGAATTCAGCAAGACGCTATCAACTTACGTCCGAGATTTTCGGTAGCACAATGCTGTCACGCGGTCCAATGATGTTGCTGGGAAACTTGTTAAAGACTATCGGACTTTCAGGAGTCGGCAAACCTTGCTCTTGACAGTGACCACTATAGTTGAGACCGATGCAGATGAGCTTATCCATGCGCGTGACCGGTGCCAGGAAGTTCACATCGGCCTCGGGTATGATGCTCCGTCCCTCGGCGACTATTCTGTAAAATATGTTCAATTTAGCGTCTTGCGAGATAGACTTTGGAACCGTCTGATCAAAGTTAATCAACTCGCACTCGCACGCGAGGCAAAACCTGGTTAAAATTTATTTCTTTTCTTATCACGAAATAAATATGAATTAATAATAAATGCAATGTTAGCAAATCTGAAGAAATAAATGTGAATAAAAAGGGGAAAAATGTTATTATATTTGTACACAAAAATAATCCATTTTCCGTTTATTGTAAGCTTGTTAATTATTGGTAATAATCAATAGCATGCTATTTTTTACCTGCGCAGCAAACGATTTGACAGAAAAAAAATGGTTTCGCGGTAATAAATGTGTAATAGCTCTAATTAATTACTCTTGCGTCTCTTATCTTATGTTTAATCTTTTGCCGATAATTCCGCCTTGCCAACAAATGTGAGTAAACTCGGTATGCTTTGTGTATTCGTCATTTTCGACTAATTACGCTGCACAATACATTCATACACATGTATTTTATCACAGACAGTTTACTTGATTACGCCTTTACTTGAAGGAGGTTGAATTACATAACTGAAATGTTGCGTGCACGTGTTCTTAAATTTTTGTAAAATATGATGTACAATCTCTTTTACCCAGATAAAATGATTAATTGATGCGTCCTTGAAAGTTCTAGTTGTTGCTAAAACTCTTTTTGTGATTCTTCTTAACGAAAAAAAAAATTCAATTTTGGATTATTAGGAGAGTAGTATAATGAGATGAGCAAAAATGTTTATTTAACAAGTCATATTTTACTAAAACTGGTTCAACGATGACGTAATTTTCTTTTTTTTCTATCTTTTCCTTTTCAATTTGCTTTGTGAAAGGATGCTTTCAAATCTTCTCGCAAAAATTACAAAGGAGAGATTCTAGACAAGACTTCGCTAATGAACAAAAGAAGAAGCTTATTTGCAAATATAATAATAGTGTATTTTTATCATTTTCTCATAATTTATAAAGAAATTCATAATTTATTATTCTAATCAGAAATTATATAGTTTATCTTGTATAGAAATTCTTGTATATAGAAATATTATGCTTGATGTGTTTCTGACGCACGCGAAACAGCAACTGTTACAATGAATAAAAACGAGACTGTAATTAGTCGCAAACGAATTGTAATTAGCAAATTAACATTTTCATCACTTGTTCCCCAGTTTAGCCGCAAAATGTCATCAACTAACGATTGTTAAATTAAATTTGAAAGAAGAGAAGAAACATAAATCGTGATAATTAATTTTTTTTAAACAAAAGAAAATATATTTTGTCATTACGTTATACGAAGCCGCGGATATATCGCTCCATTCACTAGAGATCATGTCGCTTTCACTTAAAATTTCAGCTGTCCTAAAGAAGCTTGAAAACTCGCCAATTGGCAGTGGCACAAAGCGCCGGCTTAAGCCGTTGAGTTTAACAACTGCATTTAATCGAGAAATTATGTAGCTATAATGATAAGATTCGGTCGTTGAATTTTGCACGCATGTCGCAAGAATGCGATACAATAAATATAAAAAAATTGTACAGCTTCCAATGAGATATACTCAAGCAAGATAATATATGCAATCGATACAGACTAGTGTTTAAAACTTAGTTGAGATCGATAAGTCGAATAAGAAGAAGCATGCGATATATAATTTATAAAAACATGACGTGACACATAGTAATCTTCTACTAATGATCGAAAATAATCCAAGGACTTTATGTATGATTATTCATCACGGTACGTCCGGTTTGTCAATCATTATTCTGAGTTGCTTGGAAAAGATTATAGATCGATAACGTTTTCAAATAAATTTTTAAAAAGCTGATCTCTTTATATTTTATTTGTTTATCATTCAATTCATTGGGAATTCCCATAAATAAATTTAATCGCGAATGAGATATTATTTGTTGTCGCTAAACTGCTGATAACACGATCGCTATTTTATTTATGCACAAATAAATTTCTGTAATCTTATTGCATAATCGCCTTATTGCACAATCTACTGATTACGTCATAGTAACTACATTCGAGAATTTCTCTGGCATACAAATTACTCTCATTTAAGTACTTCTTCTGTATAAAATTTGACGTAGAAAATTATTAACACAAATTATTTGTCCAAATGTTAGAGCAAAAATTAATATCATTTT